TCTCAGCTCACTGCAACTTCCGCCTCCCAGGTTCAAGCAATTCTCCTGCCTCAGCTTCCCAATTAGCTGGGATTACAGGCACCTGCCACCGTGCCGGGCTAACTTTTTTTGTATTTTTAGTAGAGACAGGGTTTCACCATGCTGGCCAGGCTGGTTTCAAACTCCTGACCTCAGGCAATCCACCCGCCTCAGCCTCCCAAAGTGCTAGGATTACAGGCGTGAGGCACTGTGCCTTATCAAGTGATACCTCATTTTCTTGAAATCCTTGTCCCCATTAGTCTTCTATCCACTTTAGCAATCCACTCCCCCAATGACGAGCTTGCCATTATCAGAATCTGCAATCTCTCTGAACTCCTGTTCTCAATATCTGATCCATTCTCTGACCACTACCTTTTTTTTTTTTTAACCTAGTTCATTTGCTCTATAACTCCTTCTACTTCCTCAAACTTTCAAGAATTTTGATCAGGTGAACCCATTAATTTTTCACCATGTATCAGTTTTTGCTAATCTTCACTTATTTCCTTACCATCTCAGATTTGGTAGTCCATTATGATAATCAGTCTCATAAAAACATTTTATCTGTAATTCTGTTTTAAAATCTGAGCCGTTTTCAGTTGCTTAGATGCTGATAAACAAATCACTTCCAGGGAAAATCACCTAACAAGGATGGCTGGTTTCAATTCAAAATGTACTATCTCAAACTCTAGACGGGGATTCCACAATGCCTGTTTCCCTCATGAGTTTGCTTTCTTATTTTCACAGTATTTTTTGTTCAAATTTATACACCATCAAAGCTCCTTTATCTCTCCACTAACAAATCTACGAAGTCTCCCTAGATGTACATACAATCCACCTGTTACAGAGAAGTTACAAAGGCCTATTCCTCAACCCCTCCCGCTAGCTTCTGCATCCCATCCCTCTCTTCCTCAAGGACTTCATTATGATCCACTTCTCTTTCCTGATCATCAACCTCTCCCACTGAACTCAATCATTTAAATTAATATTCAAATGTGTTCTAATATTGTTCCTTTAAAAACAAAATACACACCTCCTTCATCCTACTTCTCAATTCTGAGTTACTGAAATTAGTTGCTCAATCCTTATTGAAAACCACTAGAAAATGAAAATTTGCAAAACTAGATACTCAAAATTTATCCTTAGATCAGGCTGCAGCTCAGACCACAATGATTTGGGCTCAGGCAGATTTATATTTCATAAATGGAGTTTTATCATTATTTTCTAAAGTTCTGTGAAATTTGTTTCCCATAATTACATAAGCATAATCTTTATAATTACATAAACTATAGAGATATTATTGAAGGAATTGTCTTTTTGAATATTCATAAGGGAAATTTCATCTTTGACTCAGCATCAGTAAAGGGTGTGCATCTCTCAGCAAAAGATTTAACATTTTGAACACTCTGAAAATGGAAACTAAATGATTACTTATTATTTTAGGTGACTAGCACCTTTTTGATCATACAGTATGCATTTCTGAGTATTAATCTTATTTCTACCTTTATTAGTTTCCTGCCCTGATTTTCTCTTTCTATTTTCTTGAAATACTTATCTTCTCTTTTCATATTTTGGATACTTTTAAACTCTCCTAAATTATTTAAGAAGCAAGTAGAACAAGGCAATGTACAAATAGAGACTAAAGATAAAAACAGAACTAGAGAGAGGCAAGACCAAGAAAAGTATAGAAGCAGAAAGGGGCAAAAGAGACTGGGGAGAGAGAGGTAGCAGTGTTTGTTGTTATGGTAATAAGTCATTATGTGGATCTGGATCTTAGGAAAGCAGCATAAGAATATATATATATTTAGACAATAGCATATTTTTCTGAAATTCCATTATACTGAATCACTCAAAATTATAGACATCCATGCAGAAATATTTTGCAATATTAATTATAAAAACAACTATAAAAACATTTGATCTTACAAAATTAGAACTTCCCTGTTATTTTCAATTTAGGACTGTGATAACAGTTTTCAGAAATGTTGCTAGCATATTTTTCCCAAATTTAAGCACTACTTTCATTTTTTTTTTTTTTTTGAGACAGAGTCTCACTCTGTTGCGCAAGTTAGAGTGCAGTAGTGCGATCTCAGCTCACTGCAGCCTCAACCTCCTCGGCTTAAGTGATCCTCCCAAATCAGCTTCCAGAGTAGCTGGGACTACATTCATGTGCCACCACACCCAGCTAATTTTTCTTTTTCTTTTTCTTTTTTTTTTTTTTTTATTATACTTTAAGTTCTAGGGTACATGTGCACAACATGCAGGTTTGTTACATATGTATACATGTGCCATGTTGGTGTGCTGCACCCATTAACTCAACATTTACATTAGGTATATCTCCTAATGCTATCCTTCCCCCTCCCCTCCCCACAATAGGACCCAGTATGTGATGATCCCCTTCCTGTGTCCAAGTGATCTCATTGTTCAATTCCCACCTATGAGTGAGAACATGCGGTATTTGGTTTTCTGTTCTTGTGATAGTTTGCTGAGAATGATGGTTTCCCGCTGCATCCATGTCCCTACAAAGGACATGAATTCATCCTTTTTTATGGCTGCATAGTAGGGTAGTGACTAGGTCTCACTATGTTGCCCAGGCTGGTCTCAAACTGCTATGCATAAGTGATCCTCCCACCTTGGCTTCCCAAAGTGTTGGGATTACAGGGATGAGCCACTACACCCTGCGACTATTCTGCTTTGTAAAAATACAATCCTACTCAGTTCCCCAGGGAATCTGGTTTGGTGTCTGAAACAATGAGCTATACCTTACTTTTCTCTTGTTTGCTTTGACTGGTCTATACTGAATCAGAAAAATGAATGAAAATCGCCATACAGCATACACGAAGCCTTGGCTGCTTACCAAGCAAGTTCTAAAAAGAGATGAATATGCAGAACCCACAGAAAATACTATCCAAGAGCCAAGGACAATTCTACGTGACTTATGAATCATTTGACTGGTTACTATGGAAGAAATACTAGGTTCTTTCCATTTGTAGGATTTTTCTGTAAAGCAGATTGCTGGACTATAATTAATACTAGGTACCTTTCAAAAAATGAAAAATGTCAAACACAGATTGGGTACAAATTACTTCATTCCTTTCTTAGGAATGAACACTCTGATAAAGCAGTAGGAGCGCTAACATCTGCCTCAACCCCAGAAAAGTACACTCTCCTTATACCTATCTTTCTCCATCATCACAGGCATCTCCTAGGTAGGATTCTGTGTGTCACTGCAGCCAGAAACCATCACAGAATTGTAATGACTATCATTCAGGTTTCAATTTACACAGTTCATTTGGCTCCTTGTTTAAAAGGTCCTGCCCTATTCCACTATTTGATTTTGTCTACCTACTATGGCTAAGTCAGGGAATTGCCATACATTCAGATAAAGAGAATAAATCAGCTGTATACTTGATTTTTGGTAAAATTTAGATAGCAGTAAGGTAATCACAGGCAACATCAGTGTTCTACTTGTTACTTTATATCAAAAGTTATAAATAAAACACATTAGGATATAAATATCTTCATTTGCACAAATTTTTGCCTTTTTTAATGGTCTCAATTGCAGATTCATTATACAGCACCATCAACTGCAGCCAAACAAATGTGTAAAATTTCACAAAGAAATGTTGGCATAATTTTTTTAGTTTAAGGAGAATTGTTAAACTAAGAGAAATGCACCAAAATGGTTCTACCATCTAACTGGAGATTAAAGCTAATCAAAGCAAAACAGTGCTATGTACTTACAATTAGCAATATTGAACTACACATTTTAAATTTTATTAAGTCGATAGATCTCATGTTAAGTCTTCTTATCAAAATAAAATGATTTGTTTTTTAAAAAATGATGCCAATGTCAAGAATACTGCAATCATGACCAATCAGGAAAATCACAAAAATAAAGAATCTTCTCTTTCTTCTCAGAGTTGTTTTTTATTTCTGTGACCTATTCTAGAGTCTTCAATAGTATCTGAGTCTATTTTACCAGTCACCAATTGACATATTCCAGAAACTATTGTGATTTTAGCCATAAAAACATAGTTATAGTTTCTAAATGGGATGTCTGTTCCTCCTGCTAATACTTTTCTTTTTCAAAAACAGATGGCCTTATTGTACTCTTACTATTAGAAAAGTAATAACCAACTACAACTGCAAGTGCATGGATAGAAAGTGAATGCTCACCAGAAAAACTAGAGATATTTTTTTAATGGGAATGTCCTGAGCCAGACTATTTCAAGGGGGTATGGGGGTGTATATGTGTGTGTGTGTGTGTGTGTTTGTACTTTTTTCCCTCAGTACAAATTTGTTAAATACTTCCCTTCTTAATATCTTATTTTATTTCCATGAAGGTGTGTATAACTCAGTAAGTTCAGTAGCTTCAATATACTACATATGTCAAGAGCTAGTTTTACATTGACTAGTTTCAACTATTATTCTCACATACATAAAGTAACCAAATCAATAGGGGATATCTAAATTCAAACTTGACTATGTACCTTTCTGCCTATTGAAATTACACTCAGCAAAAGTTATCCACTTTCACCGTTATCTTTGCCAATGTCCAAAAGGAATAAACAAGAATATATGCAAACAAAAAAATTCCAAGTTCTAGGAGTTCCCAAACCTAGTTCACCATATACCTATCTTAAATATATTTTTCATTTCTTTAAATCCCTCAGTTAGACTCTCCTTAGCTCCAAGATAAAAATTATATACACTCAGACAAAGTGAATATATCAGTTACATATCTGATTTTTGGTGAAATTTAGATCATAGTAAGGTAATCTTGGGCAACATCAGTGTTCTCTAATAAAACACAATCCTAACTTCATAACTTTCACATCCTATCTACTTAATATCATGGCTTTTAGTTACTGAAATCTAAATGAACATCACCCTTTGCAGGAATCATTGATGTGAGTATGCTCTGTGATGTGATATCCTTAGAAAAAAAATTTAAAAAGCAATAATAACATGGTTTTACTTACGAGAAGTTTTGGAAGCAAGAAGAGTAACTCGGGCACCTCCTAAGAAGTGAAAACCCATTACATTCACCTGATCATCATCTGACTGACTGGCAAAACCTACAAAGAAAAGAGAGAAATCACCTTATGTAACCAGAAGGCAAAATTAACACATTTGAAATAGGAATCTTAGTTGAATGATGCGTGTTTTTGATGTCACTGGTCATGTATAAACTCCACGTATGAACTATAATATATTAACCTTGATTTCCATAGTAGCTTCCAATCAATGAAATTTCTGCCTTACACAAACTCTGGAATCATTTAATTTCATTTATTCTAATGGTTGATTCCAGATATGAGACAGAACATACGCAAGGTGAACCTAGAATATCTTTTCACACCAGATAGCAAGGAAGCTATTACTGAACCAGTAGGGTATTATGAAAAGGACTTGAAAGCCAGCTTAAAGAGACTACTACTGGCCAGAGATAAAAATATTAGGGTATCAAAGAAAATAATAATCGCAATGGAGTAAAACACATCAAATATGTTTAAAGGCATGAGTTCATACAGAGACTTAAAAACAAAATAAAAACAAATGGTCACTATTGATGATCCTACAGAATCAATGCTATTTATTTTAAGCTCTGTTTATTTAAAATATTTTAAAAATTAGTAATAAAGGGAAAGAACCAAGCATTTATCCTGAAAACCCTACTCAAACTGCACCATATAACAGCTACAAAAGGAAAGGTTCTCTCTAGAGAAATATTCCAGCTAAAAAATGAAGAAAGTGTGAAAGAAATAGAATATCTATTTTTCAGCCTGTAGTGAAGTAATGGATCTCAGCATTGAGTATCAATGGCTGTTACCATCACATGCAAAAAAAGACAAACAAATATTACGTGCCCTCTGTCTGCTGAAAGTCTATACTACCATCCATGAAGAACTCTGGCCAAAATAATCAATCTTGACTCTGCCAGCTGTAGATCCAGCTTACCAATTTACAGGCAATGTGACAGACAAAAGAAATATTAGGACAGGCATGGTGGCTCATGCTTGTAATCCCAGCACTTTGGGAGGCTGAGGTGGGCAGATCACGAGGTAAGGAGATCGAGACCATCCTGGTTAACACAGTGAAACCCCGTTTCTACTAAAAATACAAAATATTACTTGGGCGTGGTGGCACGCGCCTATAGTCCCAGCTACTCAGGAGGCTGAGGCAGGAGAATTGCTTGAACCCGGGAGGCGGAGGTTGCAGGGAGCCGAGATCGCACCACTGCACTCCAGCCTGGGCCACAGAGTGAGACTCCATCTCAAAAAAAAGAAAAAAAAAAGGGAAGAAATATTAAACGTCATCACAGGGGTAAAGGATGTCACCAAGATGGTAAAGTAGGGACATCAGTCTTCATCCCCAGCAATAAAAATATATAGAGAGAAAGACAGCTATTCAATAACCAAAATAGCCCTGTGAGAGCTCAAGGGCCTATTTAAGAAGCTGAAGCAAAACAGAACAAATGACTGGTTATATCAGCATACCTAAGATGCCTGCAGATGACTAGTGACAAAGAATAAAGGCAATAGGCTATTGGTGACAGCCATGGAGTGGGAACTTCCATGGTTCCCAGCAGCCTGCTCCACAGAAGACACCAGCATCTTTTGCCACTGAGGTAACCAACAGCCATTTCCACCAGGGAACCCCAGAGAGGAAGGCATGGCTCTATATTCCCTTGCTCAAGAAGTAGTTATTGTTGTACCACCCCAGGACCAAAACCACCACCCCTCCAAACCTTGCATATTCCCCTAACCCCCAGGCCACAGTCACTTCATGAATGTGCATACTTCAGAGACTGGCTCTGTGGCTGCACTATGCCCATCTATGTCTCAGATACCAGAGCTACCACCATAGTGAGCCAGTTCACACCCAAGGTCCTACAGCTAAGGTCTCTCTGCATATTACTATGGTTCAGTGATTATATCACTGTAATGATTACAGTGATAGAGGACATAGAGGACAAGGCCCCATCCTATACCTCAGAGCCAAAGTAACTCTGCACACATCCATGCTCCCATCTCGGGCTCCCCAGCTGTTTCATAAACACTAATGCCTCACATACCATCACCAACACAGCAATGCGGGTTCCTGTGCCCCAGGTACTGGTGCCATTACCACCCAAAATCCCAGAACCGAAGTCCCTTTACACATACCCATGCTTCAGGACTTAGCTCCATGGCATCTCCATAGGTGCCATTCATCAGGCACTGGAAACTGGCCCACAAGCCAGACACAGTGCCAAGAGAGATCCCCTTGGCTAAGATTTCCCTGGTGGGAGAAAAAGAGATTGGGAGTACCCTAGCATACACTGCCATTAAAAATTCCAACAGCCCTCACTATTGCTGAGAACACTCACAGAGTTGGCAACTGAGGATACCTGCAATCTTTACCAATACCAACCACAGCTAAAAGAGCTGCACACAGTTTATGTTGTTATGCCCTTGCCAGGGCCAGAACCTCTACATCTCATACTGCCAGCACCCTTGACCCTCCCATAGAAGGTCTTTCCACACCAAAATCGGCATACAAAGTTGGAAAGAGGAGACTGATCCACCAAATGTGCAGGCATCAAAGTATGGCGACCAGAAACACGAAAAACAAAGGAGATATATCCCTACCAAAAGAATACAATGATTTCCCAGTAGCTGACCCCAGAGAAATGGACATCTACAAGTTAACAAAGAATTCAAAATAACTGTTTTCAGGAAGCTCAACAAACCAGAAAAACAAAACAAAACAAAAAACAGAGAAACAAAACTCAGAAGAATAACAAGTTTTGGAGCTGAAAAAATACAATGAATGAAACGAAAACAGCTAGGCACAGTGGCTCACACCAATAATCCTGGCACTTTGGGAGGCTGAGGCAGGCACATCACTCAGGAGTTCCAGATCAGCCTGTGTAACAAAGTGAAACCTTGTCTCTACAAAAAATAAGAAAATTAGCCAGGTGTGATGGCATGCACCTATAGTCCCAGTTACTTGGGAGGCTGAGATCAGAGGATTGCTTGAGCCCTGGATGTCAAGGCTGCAGTGGGCCGTGATCATGCCACTGAACTCCAGCCTGGATGACAGAGCAAGACCCTGAGAGGGGAGGGGAGGGGAGAGGAGGGGGAGG